CAAAAGATGGCAAACTCTATGTCAAGGGTGTGACAGATTCGAACCTGGAGGGCCAAATGTTTGTGGTCCATGGAAGGTTCAAAAGAGGAGATGAAGCCAAAGCTTTGCTGGCTGAAGGTTCTGATTCAATCATTCCGTACAGTCTGACAGCAACTTCGAAAGTCTTGTTGAAGGCCAAGACTGGCAGTTCTTTGCCAGCAGCAATCCAGAAGTATGCAGAGAAACCTGGTCAACTAGGCGACATCCTCAACACCATGTCAATGGCAGGATTGCCAAAAGTGGGGTTGTACCTTCACAGTTGTGAAAGTGAGACTACAGGGACCGAGGTGGCGTGGACCATCAAGGCCTTGGAGCCAGCATGCTTGAAGTGTTCGATTGAAGAGCCTGGTGACGATCCCAACACTCCCTTCCCACCACAGGAGATCTCCTTTAACAAGCTGTCCAGCTATGTGGTGCTGTCCCAGCTCAGTCTTGTGCAGATTTGTTTTGCCCTTGAATATGATGATCAAGCCAACAAGCTGAAGGGTATGTATCCCAGTGTCTGCATGAAGCAGACATCCAAGCTTCCAAAAGATGTGATTGCTGCAATGTAATAGCAGTGATGGGTTTCCAGCTTTCATGATGGTGGAACTCAGATGCCAAGGGCAGTCCCACAGTCTTACAGTCCTACAGTCATCAAGTCCTGTGAATCCAGTCAATAATGATTGATATGCTTTGTTGTTTGTGTCTGTGGGACTGTCTGCAGTCATAGAGCTTGTAGGTGCAGCTGTAGTTGAGCCTCCTCAAATAGTTGTTGCTCGATTAGTTTTGCAGCTCAGTTTTGCCAGCTCCGCTGCCACAACATACGCGTTGCCAGCTTTGCTACCACGGCCAGTGACATTCAAGAAAACTGACTCGTGCAACATTGCTGTTGCTGTGCACCATAAAGAGTTGGGCCCAGAGGTTCTGGCTCTCGTCTTGTAGTCGTTGTCCGTGGTCGTCGTTGTGTCGTAAAGGCCCCTTCTAGATTTTAAGGCTTAGGCCTTAGGGTTTGAGGATTTAGGGTTTATGGAATTAGGAGACAAGGCCGTGTCGGCCCTACAGTCCTACAGTCTTGCAGGCAGCCCATTTTTGTTTTAGGCTCCTGAGTCTTACAGACTACAGTCCTACAGTCTTACAGGCAGCCAATTTTGTTTTAGGCTCCTGAGTCTTACAGACCACTGAGCTGCAAGCTCATTCCAATTAAAAAGTTTAGAGGTCTAGACACATTAGGATTTAAGGATTGGGCCCTGGGGTTCTGGCTCTCGTAGCAGTCGTGCTTCGTGGTCGTCGTCGTGTCGTAAAGGCCCCCTCTAGCGTTTAAGGTTTAGGGTTTTAGGATTTAGGGTTTAAGGAATTAGGATACAAGGCCGTGTCGGCCCTACAGTCCTACAGTCTTACAGGCAGCCAATTTTGTTTTAGGCTCCTGAGTCTTACAGACCACTGAGCTGCAAGCTCATTCCAATTAAAGTTTAGAGGTCAGGTAACCCCTAAAATCCCGAGCGCCCAGGTCCGCCTGCCTCGTTGAAGACGGCCTCGGCGGAGCCCGGGCGCAGCCGCCGCCGAAGCGGCACCAGCAGCGCCGATGTAGAGGGGCAGGGTTGGCTTCAGGGGCTTCAAGCCTCACTTAAACCCTAAACCCTAAACCCTAAACCCTTAAGTGCAGTCCAACAGTCCAACAGACCATGTATGACATTTTATTCCAGGGTATTTAGGACTGTGGGACTGTTGGACTGTTGGACTGCACAGCCTACTCCTAAGGAGTAACCCTGCCCTGGACATAATATCTAAGCCTTGTTCCTTCCAGCAGTTTTGTGGCTTCAGATTTTCAGGCCCACAAACAGCTGTCCCACTCCTGTCTGTGCAATGGATGAAGATGTGCCCAGTGACAGAAAGGTACTCACAGAGTGGGAGAGGGTGCAGAAACGAAGAAGAGTTCTCGACAAGGTCAAGCAGACTGACTATTATCGTGTGGCCAAAGAGAAGGCTGCCAACATAGCAGCCAAGGGGAAAGAGAATGTCTGCATGGACCAGAACAGCAACAACATGAACTCGAACAACCTCAAGATGAAGCCTGGGCCTCAACTCAGTCCTCCAGTGACACCACGAAACATT